AACCTAAACCATGCGGTCTACTAGCCCTACCACCCCCCCCCCCCCCCCCCCCCTTCTCTCTCTCTCTCTCTCTCTCTTAACCACCCACCAAAGACCACCCCATCTAACCTCAATTACCCTCCTCCAAATCCTACTCTCAACCTTCAAAAACCTCCACAACCACTTTCCTTGAAAAACCCCATTCATCTCAATAAGGGATCTAAAACTCCAAATTTCCTTGGTTAAAAGGGTTTTTGACATCATCCCAATTAACCAAGTGATACATCTTATTTCCCTCCACATCACCCCAAAGGAAATGACTTTGGATGGCTTCCAACCTCCTTGCAACCTTTACTGGAATCGTCAGGGTGGAGAGAAAATAAATGGTAAAATTAGCAAGTGTGCTTCAAATTAAAGTGAGCCTTCCACCCTTAGATAAGAACTTCATTTTCCAACTAACAAGTCTCTTCTCAACTAATTCCACCACCGGCTCCCATGTTCTCGGGTCTTTGTATTTGGCCCCAAATGGGGCCCCAAGGTATTTTATTGGAAGGCTGCCTGCTTTACACCCCATCACCTTAGCAAGTTGGACCTCATCTCTTTTATCACCAATACGAACCAATTCTGATTTATTCAAATTAATATTTAAGTCCAAAGAGTGCTTGAAACCACAATAGAACACATCTTAAATGCAAAAGAGTCCTTACCTCAGGATGACAAAAGATCAAAGTGTCATCTGTGAAGAAAAGATGTAAAATCTCAATAAAATTATCTCCTCTACCCAAAAAACACACCCCTCATCAGTTCCAAATCCGTAGTCTTTGTCATCAAGCCATACAGGGCTTCCATAATATCATAAATAATAAAGGAGAGAGGGGATCACTCTAGCGAAGCCCTTTAGAAGTTTTAAAGAAATTTGACGGACCTCCACTAGTGATGACAACAAAAGATGTAGTGGACATGCAGGTCTGCATACAACATCGCCACTTCTATCCAAAACTCATTCTGCCTAACATATAGTTAATAAAGTCCCAACAAACATGGTCATACGCCTTCTCCATATCAAGCTTCCTAATCAAACCCTCCTTCCTCCCGTCTACCAAATCATCTACTACTTCATTGGTCACCAATATTGCATCCATACTGTCTTCCTTCCACAAATGCATATTGGCAACCCCTATCACCTCCCCAATTGCTCTCGATAGTTTCCTAACCAAAACTGTGACAATAAGCTTATAAATGCAACTCATCAAACTGATAGGTCTAAAGTCTCTAATATCCTTGTCCCCCAACATTTTTTGCAATGCGGACCAAAAAGGTTGTATTTAATGACTTTACAAACTTACCAGCATGATGCAACTCATTAAACAGTTCCATCACATCCCCCTTCATAGCATGCCAGAATTCCTGAAGAAATTTCAATTAAAACCGTCTGGACCCGGGGCTTTGTCACTATTACAAAACTTTAAACGCTCATAAATCTCTTCCTCAGTGAACTCTGCTTCCAACATTTGTCTGCTATTATCAGAAATTTTTTTAAGTTGCATATTATCAAGTTTAGGCCTTATCCCAAAGTCTTCTGTATACAATTTAGTAAACTAATCATGGACAGCTTCCCTCAATTCATTGTCACCCTTAGCCCTTCTCTCATCAATCCATAACTCATCTAAGTGATTACACCTACTTCTGTGACTAGCAAGAGTATTTTATATTATGGTCCCCTTCCTTCAACCATTTTGTCCTATATTCACTTTTTGACAAATCAATACTCTAGAAAAAGTTTGCTTGGAGTTAAGAGGAATTCTTGATGGATCTAAAACATGAATAGAGTTAGTTAATCTTGTTCTTTTAGTTATGTTCTATCGACTATATGGTTCAATTACAAATGAGGATTTACGATATGCTTTTTATGAATTGTTTGATCAATATGGATATGTGGAGAAAGTTAAATCAATCGACATTTTGCAAGATTACAGCTCCTGTGACCTATGAACATTATGAAGATGATAACTGGGCTCAAGATTCTCTCCAAGAATATCACTTATATGATAGATGTTATCAAATGGAAATCCAATATTATTTTCCAATGTCTAAAATAGTCAAAACAAGTGTTCCACCTACAATAAAAGAGACGTATCAGGGACAACATGATAATTCTTATCCTTATAAACTTTCTTTGAGAGGTATCAAAATAGTTCTCCAAGACTTAAGTGATAAAATTGATATATATGAAACTAAGATAAAAAGACTTAGAGAAAATTCTGAATCTTCAGTTACACAAGAACATAACATACTTCAAACTTCAATGGAACATGAAGAATAACAAAAGGATGAAAAGGTGAACAATTTGATGATTGAGCAAAATCTTATGGAAATGTTGCAACCTAATGATCAAGAATAAATTGATGAAATTGAAGGTATGCACACAAATAAGGTAATTGAGATAGAAGAAGATATCATGAACGAGATTGTTATTCCTATTGATCTAGTTGAGCTTTCTAGTGATGGATCTTCTGATTTAGTGGCAAGCAACAACATAGCTCATGTTGACAGCAAAGATACTCTAGTTGGTTTAAACTCCATAAGGAAAGAGGGGTTTAAACCCCATATTCTACATTCTTTGGCTCCAAATAACAATAAAAAGGGTTTGGCTATTATTTCTTTATGGATTCGTCATTCGTAATTGGTTCTCTATTTCTCAAAATCCTTGATTTCAGAAGCATTCATGCTATCTCATGGCAATTTCAAGTCTCGCAAGCTTCAAGCATTATTGAGACAAGTTTCAACTTCGCTCTTCTTTCTAGTTCGGCATGTGTAGGAGAATGATACCGAGTAAAAAGCTTCTAAAGTGGGCATATTTCAATATTAGAAGATACAAGGTAAAACTAATAAAAGAACGTAAATGTTTTGGGAAGCTAACCAAAAAGAATAGGAAGATTTAATTTTCTTTTCTAAGTTTTGGAAAATTTTACAAGAAAGAGAATAGGAAGATTTATTTTCTTATTTCCTAGATTTCTTAATTTTCTAACTTTTTGTATTTAATTGATTTTCCTAGTTACTGGATCTTCTAAACTTCCTACTTTTGTTTTGTTTTGGTGTCTATAAATAAGATACCCTAGTTTAGTTATTAGGTAAACTACTTATTATTATTATTTAAATGTCAGGATATTCTTTTGATTATTGGGATCCAAAACTCCAAGTTGCTCTTAATAAAATTTTCTCTAAGCTTTCTCTGCAAGCTTGTTTTGTCCTACATCAAGATGCCTCATTCCAAGGTTCACAAACAGTTTTCCAAGCTCTGTGAGGACTGTTAATCGACTGCATATTTAACACACTAACTAGAATATTCAATCCTAAGTTCAGAATAAATTTGATGTAAAAGCTTGGAATAAGTGTAAAGCATAAATCTGATTAATATATTTGAGAAAGCAATAGATAAGCAAGAAGAGTACAAGTCTGACAAAATTAGCCAATGGCATAATTCGGCAGGGAAGACCATTTCCAGGTGTGGCAATAATGCATCAGCTACTGCCCGCTTAAGAGGGAACAACAGATATCTAGAAGCAGCATCAAACATTTCCTCTGCCTGCTCAATCAATATGATATTTCAGAAAAGAGCAGTTTTAATGCCATAAACCATTTTGGTTCACAAGTTAGATACCTGCTCTGGATCTATATCCTTCAAACCATCAGTGTACCTGACCAGTTATAGAGCTAAAAGTTAGTCCCGCAACATTCTGATATGAAAAAATAAAGAGAGGGAGCAAAACAATTAAGAACCCTTCTGGATAACAGTCCCAACACTGAAAAAAACAGTTTGCTAAATCATTATGTAGCACAGACCAACGCCAATTAAGCAAATAATATCTGCACCGATACATCACTGGCAGAATCTTTCATCTCCAAACACTATAGAAACAATAATTTAAGGGTTATTGATGTATCAAGGACCTCTTGCAGAAATGAGCTATGTATTGAAATACTAAACTAAGATAGACCAGGCAAGGGAAGACACTTACATATATTCAATCATTTTCTCAAATGCCTCTGTGCTTAGATCACACTCTTCAAGACATGGAAGGGAATTGTTAGGTCCATGTTTCCCTTTATAAAAATCATTCATATGACACAATCTTGCTTTGAAGTACTCTGATCTTGAAGCTAAAACAACTTGATGGCAACGAAAAACCTTTTTGCCAACTCTTACACAAACATCTGCAAGGTCATCCATGGAGTCACTGATTTTTATAGCACCAAAAGCTCCTGCCAGGCTGTCAATACCATTATCTAAGTTGGGCTGTATGGAAGACTTTACAAGTGAAGTTTGAAGGATCCTATGCAAGGCAGCAGGAAGGCGGTCTTCTTCAGGAAGGGAAAGGCCCTGTAAGATGAACCGTTTCTGAGCATTGTCAATATCTCTCAGTGCTTTATACTCTGCATACTTTTGGTGAATCAGTTCCTTCTCAATGATCTGTTGTAATGATTCACATTTGCACTTTTTGCAGATTCTCAAAAGATCTTGCATGTCATCGACAGCAATCTCTAGCCTGTCAGAATAGAAAAAGTGGATGAGTCTGTAAAGAGCAGGATAGGACAACTCTTCTTTGGAGAATCTGACTTCTCTTCGGCCCTTCCAATCATTCTCAAACTTTGTTCTAAAAAATCGTGACCGAGCACTTAGGATAACCCTATGAGCTTCTATAGCTCTACCACGCACAAAAAAAATGACATCTGGAGGGAAGTGGTTGGAATTGGATGCTCCGATGGATGAAAAACCTACTTGGAACATGTCATGCGTAAGATTCACATATTAATCTTCAGAGGGAGACATGCACAACCACAATCAGAGAACTGACACTGAAAGTAATGAAGCACAATTTAAGCCGACATGGGACTTCTTCAAAGTATTCACTGTTTTCATAATATTTGTATGATTGAAGCTTTCAAAAACATTAGAACGGAAAATCTTGAGTACTACATTTATGCACAAAAGTACAGGTTGCACCTACTTACTTAATCATGGAAATATGTGAATAAAGGGGATAAGGAAATAACAGAATACTGGATTCATGCCTGATCAAAGATGGAAAGTTCAACTTGAGTCCGTGGGCAATGTTGTTCGAATTAATTGGAGAGTAACTAAGTCTACACAAAATCACCATATTTCATCACTACATGGATTTTTAGGCCATCATATTACTTCATCTCTTAATTTTGCAACCCAGAGGCCACATCATATCCCTCTCATATCTCTTTACAGTAAAAAAGAGTATTTCAGATTAAGTTTGCCTTGCCATTTGTTTTACTCAGTTTCACCAAAATATTAACCAAGATTGAATTCAGAAACACCCTTCTCCCACTTTAAGTTAACCAGTAAGATTTCAAAGCTCCAACTTAATAAAAGAAAACACAGTCAATAGCACGTGGGTTGGAAACATTTCCATGTTTCATGGAGATGATGACTCGATTACTACCACAAGTCTCAAATGAAAACAAAAATAGAAATAGAAAAGAGGAACGCCGAAAATTGCAAAATTTTTTAAACATCCACGCAATTACCAACTTAAACCACTCGAATGAACAGAATCTAACCAATCAACTATTGAAATACACTAATATAACAACTGGGTGTCGTTTCATCACAACAGTCAATTCATATACCACATTTACCCAACGCACTAACATGAAAACCATGTACAATAAAGAGAGCACAAAAATTGATCCCTTCAGAAGCAAAAAAAAAACCCGTACCTGCAACGTCAAAATCAGCGTCGGCCTGCTCCAGATATGCCCTGTTACTGGCACAAGCCAAGAAGGTATCCCTTAAAGCGGCCTGCAAGGGACCGAGAGGAGGCGGACGGGCCTCGAACGCCTTGAGCAACTTCCTAACCTTGAGATTGAGTGCCGCGTAGTGGCACCTGTCGCCGTCAAAAGTGTGCTCAGAGCATATGGCCCCGCTCTCCAGCAGCATCCTTGCAGCGTCGAGATGGCCAGCGAGGCAAGCATAATAGAGAGCCACGGAGTCCCACTGGTCCCGCGCGTTCACGTTCACTCCCGACTCCAGGAGATAGCGGAGGCGGTCGACGTCTCCCGCACGGGACGCTTCGAAAACGTCACCGTTTGGAACCTTCTTGAGAGGAACGGAGGCGGCGAAATCGGATGGGTCGAGGTCGATGCCGTCGAGGTCCGGATCAATGGTCCAGGAAGGCCGCTTCTGGGACATGGGGAGCGAGTTCACTTGCTACAAACAACATAAATCCTATAGCTGGGGTTTATCATGTACATGATTGCATGGAGTGTTGGGACCGAGAATTTGGGATTTTGATTCATTTCCTCAACGCTCGACCGCTGCCATTATCGTTTCATTTTTCTTTCTGAAACGGCGGATCGACACCAGATGAGATTGGGATTGATATTGGGCCTACAAGGTAGAAGGAAGTTCTGCCTCCTTCAAATTAAATAAATCAAATATTTAATGACTACATTTTTAATTAAAAAAAAATGTGTTTATACCTTATTTAATTTAGATAAAGTTATCATTTTAATCTCTAAATTGTTTGCTATAATTTTAAATTTATAAAATTATTTATTGATAAATTTATTATATAATCAGAAAAAGTTTAACAAAATGTGATATAATTTTTTTTGTTTTGTCTATTTTTTTTCAAATGAGCTTAAGGATTATAACAATTAAATTTATTAAAATAATTAATTAATTTATTTGTAAACGATATTATTAAATTTTGATTTGGTTATTTATTAATTGGGTTAGTAATTCCCTGATGATACTTATCACTTTAATATTTTATAAATAAAGCAATATTCATTGATAACTAATAATAACAAAACATATGAAAATATAAATTTTTCATTAGATTTCAAATTTAAGTCACCATAACATAAAAATTGGATGATAAAATTTCACTACAAAAAAATTTAATCAATTTTAAATTATTTCATTAATTTTAATATATTAATAAGTAATATGTTCGTTGAATTAAATTAATTTAATAAATTCATGAACAAGGCTCCTATGTTTAAACCGAAGCTCATTCGCTCCCAAGGAAGACGAAGTTAATCGATTAGATTCTTATAAAAGGAAAAGGACGGTGTTCTCTAATTTCTTTCTGGCTATGCCTAGGGTTGATAATAAAGCTGAATATGATTTAATTTGAGAGGATGAGCAAATGTTTTCAGGCAAGGTAGGTAAAGCAGCTTGATATCAAGGAAGATAAACACCAGTGAAGAGATTGCTTCTGCAGTCATTTTACATTCCTGGATAAGTGGATGTGCACGACGAGCATTTGGATCAGTGGAACTTGAAGCCACCGCCACTGTATTTGGAGTCGCCCGATTGGACCATGTCGCACAAGAAGATAGCAAAAGAACACGGCCACATGTGCAGCAGAGCAACGAACCATGCAATGCCAAGATGATTACAACTTGAAGGAACCTGTCTTTAATCATCTTATGGACGAGAATGGTGACTTCTCCAGCACGGTACATGTGCAATATGGAGATATCATCAACATATTTGATGGTATTCCCAAAGATACAGACGCATTGAAGTGGAGCAACCATCCCCGGGAGTCAGGAAGATTAGAATTTCTTGGTGGGTGGAATAATTAAGTACGTGAATCAGAACTAATTCTGGAATCAAAATAACGTAAAAAACATGGACATGGGCATGGAGCAGACTCAGACATGGACGCAAGCAAGGCCACATGACTGGATGATACCTATGGAAACTGGTATGTGCACTAACATAGAATTAAGACCTCAAGTTAACTCCTCTATTAATTGCAGACAATTAGATCCGAAACTTGGATATTTTGGAACCCAGACTACTGTTTCTGGTCCACATCACTGTCTATCAACATCCTAGCTGGTCCCCTTCCATGGCCCTCCCCTCCCACCAAAACCCCCAAGTCCTGCAATTCCAATACATAATTCATCCGGGTGTGTATGTTATAATGAACCTAAAACAAAATGCCAGGGACATCTATGGTATATTATATTCTCGACTCTTTTGAGTTTCTCTTGCCAAAAGTACATCTGACCATACATTAAAAAGGAAAGGCAGATTAAATTATAACCGTCCTTCTTTAGTTCTTATATATTGTTTGGACGAATGTAAACAGAGGATAAAGAGAAGAAGAGAAATTAAAAATTAATGTTTTCTTGTTTCTCTGGAGAGAGGTTGAATTTCGCCCTTCTGTGCCGCCTCATCGCATATTGAATAATCTATTAGCCTCTTTTGTATTTTTCCTTTTGGCTATAAAAATAAATTTTTATTTTCTATTTTTTTACACACACACACACACACATATTATATACATCGTACTCATCTGCTTCTTCTAATGAGCTTGGAGAGGTTTTGAATGGTGGGGGGAGGGGGTTCTGGAAAGATAAATAAAAAGAAAAATGTTTTGTTTGATTATAATTTTTTACATATTTTGTTAATAAATACTTATAAAAGCACATATAAATTTAAAAAATAAAAACCAAATATATTTTTATGTGCTAATTTATTTATTTTATATATAATTATGCATTAAGTTTTCTTGAAAATTTTGTCTACACATTTTCTTACCGGCTACCACCAACCGGTCACAACTGATATATTTAAGTAGCAAAAGACCTACGGCTATTAGTATTGATTTCTTTTTTTAAAATAAAATAAAAAAAGACTTCAATCATTACTGCATTAAACTTTTAATTTTAATTTAATTTTTCTTGTTTTTATTTAATTACATTAGGTTTAATATATCGGTTTAAATTAACTCCTACAATTTTAAATTATTTTGAAAAAAAAAAAAAAAAAAAGGAAAAAATTCACAATCTAAGTAATAAAATCACAACAATGATTGAATGAGAGTTGATCCAATGGACATTAGGTGATAAGTTTAGTAGATAATGGAGTACGTTTGATCCTTTTGATGAAGTTCACATCACAACAAAGCAAACATCAAGAGGGCAAGGAACATACAGCAGTACCCCCTGATCATCAGTATGTCAATTAAATTTAACGTATGAGATTTGGTATGTAACAAACTCAAAATTTACAATTTATGACCTACAACATTCTGGGAAACACCAGACACTCTCTGGGTTTATCTCATCTGATCTGATCCTTCCCCTGTATGGAATAACAAGGGTTTTTAAGTTAATTTTTCTTCTTCTTCTCCAGAGGGGCAGCATGCCCCTTCTTGGATGTCTTTCTGATATACAAATTTGATTTGATCTGCTTCTTCCCCAACAAACCCCATCTATTTGTCACCCATCTTCAGTGAGTTTAATCTTCTCAGTCTCTGGTCAAGTTCAGCCATGACTGCTGGCTCCTGCTTTTTCCTTTGCTTTGATATGGTGTTTGTCGTCATAGCCCCAACTTTATCAAAAGCCACCTGCAGCATCATATTCAAACGAAAAAAAACCTTTTATTTGGCTTCCTTTTACCTATTTTCCTTGGTCTAAAGCTCTTTAATACTAGTTATCAAATCACCAACCAACATGGCTCTCTTAATGAAAAACAAGCAAGATCAATTCAGTAGGCTTTGTTTGTGCTGAAGCTGTAAAAATGTGTATTCCCACTTATCGGTTTTTAGAGAGTATAAAGGGGCAGGTGAATGAAAGATTCATTTAAAGGAGAGACAACAGGATCATTGACTTACCGTCAACAAATCATCAGGATCAAACAGATGATGAGTTGTTTTCTGTAATATGTTAATTATGTCACCAACCTGATGGGTTAGAAGCAACTCCTCTTCTCTCATCTGCAGACAAAAGACATCACTCAAATTAGTCCCAGCTGATAAATCTTGTGTGTAAATTTAATTTATATTGACCGACTTCTCAACTTGACTGGCAAACACAACATAAACAAGGTGAAAAGAATAATGGCAAGGAACACATGCCTTAAATATAGCCAAAGCCACATGAAAAAGGACCTTTGCTCCCTCGAAGAAGAGGACATCCCATACTCGCAGTGTAGTCTGCAAATAAGTCCCAAAGAAGTATTGTCAAAGAAAAAAATATCGTATTTTCCATACAAGAGAGAAAGAGCAAAGCCATATTGTTCAAACCTCTGAAGGCAAGCTCTTTGAGAAGAGGCATAGGAACCACTCGGTGGCAACAAGGGAAACATCAAAACTCAACTCTTCTAAATGGGTAGCTATCCTGTAATGTAGTCTCTTCGGCTTTAAACACATAACAACAACTGAACGATAGGCAATCCAAGTCAATCAGCATTAGAAATAGGTACCTTGGGCACTGTTTAGCGAGCAAATCCTTAAAAACTCGCTGCTCAACATGGCAGCCTGATAAATTATTTGTATAGCAATCATTGACTAAAACATTTTCCAGGAGGACAGCAAGCATCCAAAACGCATCTTCCTCTGTCTTCATCACAAGCAATAGCAATGCTGCAACATAATTTAAGCCCTGAAAGAAAAAAGTTCTATATTTAACCATGATACAAAACTTGTTTCTGAATTGGAAGTCAACAAAAAATTGTAGGATTGGTACATTATGTTATTTGCCCCATCCCTTCACCCCCAGAGAGATCCATGTCAAACCTTCTTTCTAATATGACAATAGAATAACTCGATCTGTAAGTCTTGTTGTTTTAGCAAAATGGAGAATTAACATGTCCACCATGCCAATTCTGTAACCTAAAGACTTACACTTAAATCACTAAGATAACTAAAGGAACCAAGAGTTCACCTGACAGTAGCCAACATCAGAATCACGGAAAGAATATGCAACAAGCACCCGTCGTAAAGAAGCATGACCTTCAGGAGTGTCCAACCATGGGTGACCAGGGAAGGTTCTTGGCAGGTCCTGCATATATACATCAAGAAGAATCAGAATATGATAGATATTTGGGCTGCAATTCAAGAAGTCAACTATTAACACTCTGCAATGCATAATTCTACAACTACAATACCTGAATGACCTAACTTAAAAACCACGCAATGACATTAAAGAAGAGCGGAAAAATAATGCAGGTATTGAAGCATGTAAAGAAACTCCTATCTCCTTGATGAGTCCTTTTCCCCATTTCCAGTTCAGAAAGCATTGCAATGCCTTGCCTCCAGTCCATTTAGAAAGTAGATACATTAGCTAAAAAAATCACAAAATGTTCAAACAGACGGAAAAAGACCAAAAAAGAAAAAGGAAAAAGGAGTAAATGATTAAAACTGCTTGCATTTACACGGTGTTTAAGGAAGGAAATAAGAAAGCAAGCTATGATTTTATCTCCAAGCTGCTGGGATTAAAATAGCTAACTTCAAATGAGGAAAATTTCTTTCCTTGAGAAATGCAGATGACCGTTCTTTGAGTCTGATCTGATCTATTGAGTATTCATTACAATTGTAAACTCCCATCACCAATCAACTAAAATTGAAGCCTTATAAGTTCTTAATTATCAATGTATTCTACAAAATTCCAATAGAAATTGAAGAATTTAAGTTCAGACTTCCGGCAGGCTATGGTAACAAAACCCAGACTTACTCAACCATACCCAAAGGCCACAATTTCCATTCAAAGGAACTTGAATGAAAAAATACAACAGGTGCTGAAACCAATCAAGAAATCCAACAAATTTAATGATGATCATCAGTTTTCAACGAAAAAAATATGTTCAAAAAATTACCCACATGATCAATCTGCTTCGTAGCCGGCGTGACTTTATCCTCTACGGCCTTTGTCAAATCATTATAATAGCTCTCAGGCACCGTAGACTTCTTCTTGGCGGCACCCGAGAGCGAAAACCAGACCTTAGGCCTGAGCACGGGCGGTATTCCCTTCCTGATCAACCTCTTCAACGTGATGGCATTCGCCAAAGTAGAGAATTTGAGGGAAGACTTAAGCGCAATTCCCTCAGAGATAGAGGAAATTTGTGGCTGTAAATACCAGTTTGCGCCTTTGTTAGCCTCAAGAGACCACCAAACACGGCCTTGTTGCCTGACCTTCTCTCTAACCTCATTCAACACGTTGACATCATCCACATTGCCCTCAACCATGAACCCATAAAGGTCCTGGAATTTGACAGTGAGATTTGCTCTCCTGGCATGGATGCTTGGCCTCAAAATCGGGATTTGGGATTGGAACTCAATAGCAAGTTCTCTCTTGTTTTGTGTCCCAAACATTTCCTTGGACGCTATTGCGATAGATCAGGGAAGAAAAAGATGGAAGGAGAGAGATGGGTGTTTTTGCGAAAGGTCTTATCAAATGAATGAATCCCTCAAGCTGGAAACCGTGAAAAGGTCAATTTTTTGAAGCTTGAAAAGTTGGGTTTTCCCTGAAATGATTTGATAAAAAAGAAGCAGGTGGAAACAGATACAGCACTATAAAATCCCTAAAGAAAAATATTTACATTATTTACGGCAATCAAAGTCGTTATGCCATTTTCAATAGCTAGAAATTCAGAATATTGATTGTCAACAAAATTTTCTTTTTAATTCTTCTTTTGAGAAAAAATGAGAAAAACAAAAAAAAAAAATTCCTTTTCTGGTAGGCTCTTGAAAAACGAAGAAATGGACTATTAAGAAACAAGAACTAGACCCAGAAAAGGGAAAGTGAAGCGGATAATAAGAAAGAAACCCAAAAAAAATATTTCTTCCAATTCAATTACAAGGAGAAACCAAAAATGAAAAACCCTACAAAAGAAGAAGAAAAGAGAAAAAGAAAATAGTACTAAAATTAGAGTGGATATTTTTTTCTTCCAAACAAACAAAAGACAGAAGAAGAAGAATATAATGGAAAAAAAATCCCGATTCCTCCGCGACAGAGGTTCAAAGCTTGAAATTATATGGAGGACACAACGGAAATATAGGTGACCTTAGCAGAAAGTGGAAGAAGTGATAAACTTGAAATAGGGATGGAACTGAAAAACAATTTTGGGTTTCTGGGTTTGACTCATAATATCTTGTAAAAAAAAGTCTTTTTTTTTTTTTTTAAATTTATGTGAAAACCTTATTCTAACGTTAGGGAGTGAGTGGATATTCAAGAGAGACGTTGATGATGTGTTTAGAGCTGCTGCAGTTTAAGCTTCAAATTTTTTTATTTTTTTAGTGACTATTATACCCTACATTTGCCCTTTAGTGACTATTATAATTTTTTTGAATTATATACAAATTTTTGAAATTTTTCCATAAATATTATAAAAAAAAAAAAAAAAATCTCCCTAAAATTTTAAAAAGTAATAAAAATTTTCATCAGTTAATATTTTCTAACATTATGTGATTTTACTAACAAAACATGTAATGTAATTACAGTAATTTTCAATTCGTCAATGTGGTGCCTACATTGATGGAAATTTTTTTAAAACCGAACAAAAATTTTACATTTGTTAATTTTTTCAACATCTGATTTTACTATTAAAGCATGTATTTACGATAATTTTAAATTTACCATGTCGTGCCACATAAAATCGAGGTGTCAGTTACTTTTTATTACTTTTTAACTCATA